TATATATATTCTTATTTTTTCAACATGATATTCTCATTCAAAATTTGTGTAACACTGTTCTAATTTAACATACATTTTGAGGAGGTAGATTTTGGCTTACAACTATAAGTCATCGTTAAGGAAGAATATCCCCTACAGTAACATTAAGATCACAATCATAAAAAATATATAATTCATATCATAAATAATAATATAAAATTACGAATGGATGAAATGAATTTAATATCCCCATCATTAAATTGATCACATGACTTGGCCCATGTCTTGGTTAATGGAGAACGGTTTTGATTGTGCAAATATATAAGATGTAATTCTAGGTTTATGTTTGAAAATAGGTTAAAAAGGTAATAAGTCAGAGGATTAGTGGAAAGGTAAAATCTATTGTAGCTTAAGAATTGATATTTTAAGTTTTATTATTTTTGCTTCGTTTTTTGTGCTTCATATGAGACAATGGAGGGATTGGTGTGGAAACAGTTGCTATTTGTTGAGTTATTTTATGTTAATTGTTGTCTTGTTGGAGATTGAAAATGCGAACTGGGGTTGACATGGTTATTTCTTGAACTATTCTTTGATAACTAAACTCTCAAATTAACTTTTAAGATTGTATGAACAGTGGGGAGTTTAAAAAGCTTTTATTATAGTCTTTGATTTTGTAATTCAAAATTTTGCAAAGAAGGATCAGTTTGGCTTCCTTAACATTGCATTGACGATAGAGAGAAAATCTTTAAAATATACTGTTATCTTCTGCAAGTTTTGAGAATGGAGTATATTTGAGAGTTAAATTTTACAAGAGAAAGAAAGAAATGATATATTTTTAATCAATATTTTCTAATTTTATAATTTTTTAAAATAAAAATCATAAAATGATAAATTAATATAGATTTAATGTGCTTATATTTTATTTTATTTTATAAATATTATAAATTTTTTAAATTTAAGAATTAAATATTTTTCTTCTATTTTTTTCCTTCCAAAATCCAACTTCAAAACATATCTTAATTAAATTATTAAAAATATTTACAACATGCATAATTCTTCTAACAAATATCAGAATTCATTAACAATGTAATCTCAAAGCATGACATGCATAACAATAACTACTGGAATAAATTCTTTCGTATTAAATTTTCAAGTGAAATTATGTGAAAACTTAAAATATATATTTCCTTTATAGACATTAAATAAATAAATTCTTGTTATTATTTCATGACATTTATGAAAAGAAAATAAGATAGCATAATCATGTAATAATTCAATATGAAAAGATCCATTTTCATAGAAAAACAAATCTTCTTGTATTGATTTTTTACGTGAAGTAACCGTGATGAATCTTTCAAAGTGCGATCAAAAGCCATGCGTGTGAAGGAGAGAATTTTATTCTCACTCCTTATATGCATGGCAAAAGTCACCCTTAACGAACATTGAGGTAGCATGACATTTTTTAAATTCTTGCACAACAACTTTAAATAACTATTTTTCTCAGAGAAAATAATATATATATATATATATATATATATATATATATATAATTTTCTCATACTAATATAAATTTAAAATTTTTTATATTTAATCTAAATTTTTCATTTAACTTATATCTAACGATTAGTGAAATAATAAATTTTAAACTTAAGATCGAGTGTAAGAGTTTTTAAACTTACACTAGTGTGAAAAGATCTCTTTTATATATATATATATATATATATATAATAATTTTTTTAAAACTATTTATTATTTTGAAATCAAGGAAATAGGAATGAAAACTAAAAAATAAAGACAGATGAATTCAATCCCCATGACAAAATAGGTTTTTCCTCATGACAAATAATATAAATTAGCCTACTCATTATATAAAATTCATAAAAGTTATATAAATTTAACATAGTCAGCAGCAAGTATTCAAAAAAACTGTTTTGTTACCTCGTTTATGTATCATAAATGAAAAAAAAAAGTCTTAAAAAGTGAATATGTAAATTTAAATAACCTTGAAATTCTTAAAAAATATATACATACATAATAAGAGAAATTTTGACATTTAGAAGTGAAAATAATTAATAAAAAGTTATTGCCAAACAGAGTTTAAGATTGATCTATAAGCAAATAGTCATATAATATGCTTCATGAATTAATTAGAATGTTGATATAAGCCGGCTGAGTAATTGAACTGTTAACGTGATACTGTATATATGTTTTAGCTTTAACTTTTATATGGATAGGATGATCGAACCGATATTTGTTCAACAGCTTAGTTCCTTTGATATTTACATATAAATACTATTAGAAAAAAGCAGATGCAAATATAATAACTGAGAGAGGAAAAAAGAAGGTGATATGAAGTGAGATAAGATTCTTGATATCACATTTTATTTTTTATTTTTTTGCATTTTCAACTCAAAACTATGAACTCACATTGCCCTTTCTCTCCTGTGTAGTCCCAATGTCAAGAGATGAAAATTTGTAGATCAATTAGGGGCTTAATTCATCATAATTTATTTACCTACCATTCAAAAATATTAATAATATACTCCCTAACACTTTTTTTAAGACATTTTTTATTGTTAATTAAACTTTATTAAGAATTAAAAAAATATGAAAGAAAGAATAAAATTCATAAAATTTTTATAGTTTTTAATAAATTTTAATTAATAATAAAATATATTAAAAAATTGTGTTACTACCATTTCTTCCTATCATTTATGTCTTGTTCTTTTCTCTCACCGTGTAGTTGATATCTGACCTCACCAAGCTACTCTTCAGGGCACAATAATTCATGATCTGAAAACTGTTTTGGGCCTTCAATTACAATGTGTAAGAGTGATCACAATGGCCCAATAGGAGGATCTGTTTCCCCACCCCCATTCATATCCAAGTCCAAACCCTTACATGTGCAGCACTTTTATAAAAATAAAATAACATACCCTTCTTGTCAATCAAGTATCATTATTATGAAATTATGCATAGCCTGACATTGCATTGGGAGCATGCTGTATAATACAAAAAAAGAGGTAGCAAACAAGAGTGACAAGAATAGCACGAGATTCATGCTGTCCTTCATAAAAATACAAAAAATCTTAATATATTTCACTCATGACAGAAACTATCTTTGGTCCCCTACCCCTATCACCTCTTAGAATTGATTTGAAGTATAAAAAAATAGTAAGTTTTTGTTTAAAATAAAAAATTATTATACTTTAATATTTTAATAGAATAAATACTTATTGATGAAAAAGTACTTAATCTAGATATACTTAAAACAAATTTTACAAATTTGATGTTAACAAAATGAATAAAAGAAAAATAATTTTTTTTTCTCTAATTTAATAAGTAGGTACTTGAATATTGATTCCAATTTAGACACACAACCCAGACCGTTAGGGTGGCCTTCGATAATGTACCTTTGCACGGATTAAGGAGGGGGACCAGTTGACCAGGTTCAACATTACTCCCAAAGCCTAAGGCAAAGCAACAAAGCCTCATCTTCTCTGCATATGCTTTTGGGAAGAAAGAAAGGATGATGTACCTCATCCATAACATGCTGCCATTATATTTTATGCTGCAATGATTGTACAAATTATGTTCCCAATGCAATTTTACAACATTAGTAACCAACATTAATTTCTCTGGCATGATTTATGTACACAACAGTATCAGTATGTACCACCATCATTCAAGGCTCTATACATTTATTTGTTCAAGGTGTATCAATTTCAAATTCTGGTCTTGGTCACACCGGGTGAGGTAGCAAGTAGCAACCCATTTTAATTTATTTATTTAGTATATGCAATAAGGGAATGCATGGTATTTTCTTTGGTTGAAATTTGATTCTTTTTCTTACCTTAAGAGATATGGTACGTCAATATTTTGCCTTGAAAATGATGGATACACTTAGAGGGCCGAACTAAGACTATTGACTATATAACAAAACCCATGTTCTAGTTTCCATAAGGATGAAAGAGAAACAATGATAAGAAAGAATATAACAAAAAAGTAGAGCAATACAAAATTGCACAATCTATCTATTAGATGGGCCACTGAGATTTTTCTATATTGGATGCATGTAATCCTGACCCACGCTACAAGCTTCCAATTCCAAAAGCTTCTCTCTTTTCTCTCCCTCTATCATACATTCTTTTCAACACGGTTATCTCTGTGTGTTTCTTTTCCCTTTCTCGTCAGAACAATTTTTTAACCAAAACCGCATAGCTTGCTGAGTGCAATGAGCCAATGGACTTTCTGCAAAGTAGCATCTCTTGTTCCCACTTACAAAAAGTATAGTGCTTTTTACTTTACATCTCAGAACATAACCGATTGCTCTGCCTCATTTTTTACTCTGTTAGTGTTAGAGCCTGCACTCAGGTCTCAAACACTGGCAGCTAAAACACTGCAAATATTGCATGGGCCACACACAATTGTGGGCTAGTTGTTATTTTCCAATCAAGTTACTTGTTAGCTTGTAATCCACTTGGGAATCATTCACATACTAGAAGGGTGTTTAAAACCACCTTTTGTCATCCTTCAGTAGTAAAAGAATACTAACTCGTTAGTTTTTTTACTAAGCTACTTGTATCTTGTATCTTTTATGAGAGACAATTTTACTAAAATGAGTGATAATACTATTTCACTGTATTCTTAGAAGTTAGAGTCGAAACTATTCATTAAATTCAAACAACCTTATATCAATTAATTTAGAACTTGGTGGTAGTAAATCATTATTTTTTTAGGATTAGGTAAATAGTCATTCACCAATCACCCTTCAGCCCCACTAGTTTTCTTTTTTGCCAACCTTTTTCTTCTCTTGTGGACCCCATCCCTACTTCCTCCAATTCCAAAAGCCTAATTTTTCTTGTATTTATCTCACATTACCATGAGTGCCAAACCAAAGTAACTGATGGAAATACTTGAAGTATCATCCCTCATTCAACACAGAAAGAACTAGAAAAGAAAGCACACAGCTCCTTCACAAACACAAAAGAGAAAAGGAGAGAGACATAGACACAGAGGAAATGGGTAATTACAGGTTCAAATTATCAGATATGATACCCAATTCTTGGTTTTACAAACTCAAGGACATCGGAAGAGCAAGAAAGCAAAACCCAACTCAGTCCAGGAAGAAAAAGCAACCTTCACAGACCTCAACCACACAATCATCAAAACCAAAACAACCCCACCAATGCAATCCCAGAAAATCTTACTACTTTACAAGGGAACTTAACCCAAATGATAGAATCTACACTTCGCCAGCAAATAACCAAAATGACATAAAAAACTCCAATTTCCCTGAACCACCCAGAAAATCATCCAAACAAAGAATCAAGAGAAGAACGACTGCAAGGACTTCTTCACCAAAGCTTGTTGTCACTGAGAACTCCTCATCATCACCAATTGATAATAGCTCTGCTGAGTCAGAGTACCCTGACCCAGAATTCAGAACAGACCGTGTTCTTCCTACTGAATCATTTGATGAAAATGTTCCTTGGTCCAACACTTGTGGCTGCAGGGTACACTCCAACACAAAGGACATCATCATTGATGTAGACAACAATTCCATAGCCAGAAACGACGATAAGCTAGAAGGGTATGAATGTGATCCCTTTTCAAACCTTGTGCTTCCACCAATTGTAACCAAGCCAGCAAAATTCAATGACTTGCTTAGTGATGCAAAGAAGAGAGAAACCAAACCCAGAAGCAGAATTGCTTCACATGAAGAACCAAACCTGCAAGGTACTCTGAAGGTTAAAATTGTGAAAGAAGACACTGCCCCAATGAAGGAACAGAGGAACTCCCCTGCTAGGAGACTTTCTGTGAGTTCTCCCGGCGTCAGGCTTCGGCTGAATTCGCCAAAACTTGCCGGCCGGAGAACTCACACACACGGCCGGAGAAGCGTGTCGTCGGCCGCCAGCTCCGGCTCCCGGAGAAGCCTCTCAGATAGCTTTGCAATTGTGAAGTCATCACTCAATCCTCAGAGAGATTTCAGGGAATCAATGGTGGAGATGATTGTTCAGAACAACATAAGAACATCAAAGGATTTGGAAGACCTTCTTGCTTGCTACCTTTCTCTTAATTCAGATGAGTATCATGACCTCATTATCAAAGTGTTCAAGCAAATATGGTTTGATTTAACTGATAACTAGTAGAAGAAGTAAGTAACCAATTGAGACAATTCTTAATGAAGTTATCAAGTTTCTGTTTTTTCTCACACAATTTCTTGTCCACATGTAAGTAATATCAACATCTTGGTTAAGCATTTAAGTTTAAGATCTCGCTAATAAGTTTTAATGGGACTCTACTTAAAGAATTAATAAATAAAAAATATTAAAATTTTTGTTAAAGTACGTATTATATTACGCCTTTTATATATATAAAAAAAATATTTTTAACATTGTGACAGTCTTGAAAGTGTTTCCATAATATTTTCAAATGGAAAAGCAAAAAAGAATATAGAAATCAAGAGCAGCAATTGCACGCACCATGCATGTCAAAGGTTTTGTGATAGAATTGAAGTTCTATAGAAAGAAATTTACTTGGTTTTGGCTTTGATAACTAGAAAAATAAAATGGGGTAGAGGAATTTTTGTGAAGTAGGGAATTCAGTGAATTTATGAGCTAGAGAGTTGGGATTGTATGACTCTAAAAACAGTGTGTCATTCGCTTGCAAACGTGTAAAATGGATTTTACACACAAGCTCCATTCGAACCATTTCCTGTTTGTTTAGAAAGGCCAAAAAGCTTGCCACAATAGGGGCATTGCATTGTTAGCTTTATGTCCTGTTCCTTAAGAAAACTCGGAGAACAAAATTTGTTTCTGAGTTTTAGTACCCTAATGGACCCAAAGTGGTTTTGGAACAAGACATAACTGCCACAAAATTGTATAAATTGTTCACATTGTAAGGGACAGAACCAGTTGCGAGAACTGACAACTTCTTCCATTTAACTTTGGCTTTTTTTATTATGTCTTTGTTTTTTACTCCAAAAGAAATTGCCCTTTTAAGTACAAGCTCTTGATTTCACGTCTTTCATCCAAAAATTTAAAGGGCTTCTTTCATAGCCAGAACATGCAGCTTTTAAGATCATGCACGCCAGTTCTCCACCTCAACAACACGTAGCAACTGAAGAGAAAGCTATATAGTCACAAGAAAAATTATGGCACATTTTTTTACATATTTTTTCAGCACCATGTTATAGAAACAAAATTTAAAGAGTGTATTACAATACATGTTTCTCTTAATAAAAAAATAATATGTAAATTGCTTAATATCACTCCTCTCTGCAACGCTTAAAAGAAAAACGTTTTCAATGTCCAATGCTTTTTAAATGTAAGATTTTTTTACCCTCCTAATCATAACTTGAGATTTAAATTGCTACAGTGACCCATTTGCTTTAAACCCTATGAACTGTGGAGGAAAGGAGGGAAAAAAAGGTCTTTAATTCCATGAAGCATGTCTAAAGGTGAAAGGTTGATTTTCAAAAGCTAAAGCTACTTCGTTTATCACAAAAGTTTTTTTTTTTTTTGTCATTTCACAAAAGTGGTTCAAGGCTTTAACCAGAGACATAGGCTCATCTGGTGAGCACCTTGTCGTGTGCCCTAGGCATATATGAATAGTTTCACACAGTGTGCTATAAGTAAACCATTTTGCTAACGATTTTTTCTTTTTCTTTTTAAGTTAAATTATAAAATAAAGCATAGAAGTTTAATTTAATCATTATGCATTAATGTTTAATGAGTTTTTCCTTTTCCTTGTAGTGACGAACTGATTAAGAAATTAAAATAAAAATTATTACAAAATATTTAATATCATAAACTGTAAAACATTTATTATCTTTTAAAAATAATTTAACCAGGAGTAATACCTTCTTCTTAATTAACACATGGTTCAAGTGTGCATCTTAAATACTATGAAAAACATACATACTAAAGGATTATGAATAGTGTCGTACTAAAAGATTTATATTCATGATAGATAAAACTAAATCCAAAGCATAAGGTGTTCTAATTAATTTCTTTTCCTTTTCATCTTGGTTGAACATTTTTGTAAAATTTTGCTTCAGCTATCCCTATATCCCACTTAACATACCTATTTTATAGGTGCATAAAGGTCTAATCTCACACTTGAAAGAAAAGCCCCAATAGATAATGTTGTCTCTTTCTACGACAAAGGAGGATCTAGCTTGACAAACAGACCAAAGTATCACAATCAAAAGATAAATTTTTAATAAAATTTATTTATTTTTCTGAAAAATTCCTGTCATTCTGTAGTATCAACTACCGACGGGGCTTTAAGATCTCACCTGGCACTGTAAAAAGTCTTGGAAATATGCTCTCTAAACACTATTATTCTTGTATTTACTTTGACCCTCTTATTTTGATTAATTTCATTAAGCATATGGTTACAGATCGAGACAAATTAAGGGAGCCATGGAAGCGGCTCTACTAAATATTTTAAGATCTCAAACTTTTGCTGACAAGAGAGAATATTGTAGTCACAAAATATTGTCATGTATTATTTGATTTTAAAAATAGCTGACCAGTAGTTTTAAAATAGTTATCTACTGCTATTAAATAAAAGTTGTACCAAGGAAGACAATCTCAATGCTTAACCTTTTATTATTGAATAGTTCTTTTCTTTTGGTGTACATAAACATTATAAGCATATATCCAAATACATTGGTAAATTGTATATGGACATATTTGGGTGTTATTTTCAAGACATGATAAATTATTTTGCTTCGTTTAAAATGAAAAGTTATATTCATTTACTTAAATAATTGTGTTGTTTCGTTTAAATTAAAGATTTTTCTTGTTTTAATTTTTTACAAAGGAAAAGTTGCATTGATAATTCATTCAAATTAAAGAACTATCTTGATTCAATTAAAATATTATAATGCTTCACACAGGTTGTTATAAATATGTGAATCCGAAAATATATTTCTACATGAATGACATCAAATAATATTAATTATATAAATATACACACCAGGAAGACAAATTGCTTCATAGAATATATTAACTGGATCAATATGATACTTTATTTTGTGTCTATAGGGGCATTTCTATACATAAAACACAATTAATTTTTGCTCCATTATCTTAATACACTCGTAAATTCATTTGTGTTTAACATCGGTACACACGAGTTAGAAACATGATTATCATTTGTAATATTATTTATCACAACTTGAATTTGAGGACTGAAAGCCATATTCAAGAGTCTTTTATTCTATGTTAAAGGAAATTTGGTTGTGACCAAGTTTTAATATTGGTGGATGTGAATTGATTAAGGAAAGTGCTGGTCATGTGATGGCATTTGTGCACAATTTTTTCTCATGATTCTTATTCTCCTACCCCTTTAAAGATTCTATCCCACCAACGTTGTTTTATAATTATTTTTCCATAAAAATTAAATTTCCACGCATATAGTAAAATTTAAAACACATTTGAAATTAATGGGATTGACACACATATTCAACTTTTTATTTATGATTACTACAATAATTTATTTTGAAAATGTAAATCTAAATTTAAAATCAATGTGTGGCTATTATGTACGTGGTTATGGACACATGAAAATTTTTCTAAAAAAATAAAAATTTATTCAATATACTTTCTTTAATAATTTACAGTACTTAATTAAAAAAAAAACCTAGTGTTTTTACATGCCATATATCTATGATTATACAATAGACAACTTTATCTCATGCACATATAGACTAGTCATTCTCACTTAACCTCAGTTTGAGTAAACTTTTTATAAAAAGTTTTAAAAATATATTATAAAAAATAAATAAAACTTCTTTTATAAATTAAATGATAACACCTCTCAAAATTTTAAAAAACATAAATTATTTACCTCGACAAAACCTTAATCATTGTAAAGATAAAAGTACACGGAAGCAACATAGAGGCATTCATAATCTCTTTAATGGGAAATAAAATCCTCTAATATAAATATTTATATATTGATGAAAAGACGAAGTAGGGACAAGAAAAGACAATATTATTAGAGGTGACAATACATACATGTTCCCCTCAGCTTTGTGAAGAAACACAAGGCATGACAGCTCTCATTTATTATCATGGTCTAATTCCATTTCAAAGTAGTGAATTGAAGTTTCAAGGTGTTATGTGGTGTAGAGTAGGGAGAATGACGTATCACGTACCCTTTGTTCAAGCAAGCAGGACGTAGCTATAGCACATATGTGGGTTTTTACATTATTGTATCTAGCCTTCTAACATATAATAGTAGACATTACGAGGTATGGGTTTTTACAAGAAAATAAACTCATAGGGATAATATTCCTGCAAATATATGAATAAATCGAGTGAAATAAATACATCTGGTATATATGTTCACATTCAACGGTGGAAATGATTCATATCCTTTATTATTTTGTCCTCTTTTCTTTCACACAATGAAATTTCAGTGTTGGGTCAACAAAAGACAGATTGTTCAAGCATAGCAACAACCCTATCTAGGGAAATGCACCCATGACCTATATCAAACTAGGTTTATAGGGTAAGGATAGAGACCATTTGACATTATTGAACTTCTCGCGATTGCATTCGACTGTTCAAATATATTTAAATATTTTATTAAAGTATTATCAAATTTTATGTTTTGATAATATTACATGATATAATTATTAATAAAAATTTTATTTTTAATTCTTTAACATATATAGTATTCATATTCTCGTTAAAAAAATCAAATATACATGCAAATAATCACAAAATAACAAGTTATCAAACAGATAAAGACAAAAGCACTGGGATTTGACGTACCTTTTATATATATATATATATATATATATATATATATATATATATATATATATATATTCCTTCTTATTGTACGCACTGGTCCCCCACGGTGCTTTCTTCTTATGCCAATCCTATCCTACACAGTATGTATAGCCTACTAGAATCAAGAATGCAAGTAAATGTAATTTTTTTGCTCATTAACGATCGATGTGGTGGTTGATTAAGGTAGAAAATTTCAATTTATAAACTTGTTCAAATATCTAATTAGAATTGCCAATTTTAACTTATCAAGTTCAGGTTTAAATTTTATGTTTTCTTCCTTAGTTGTAAATAATAAGTAGGTGATCATGTTAAAATTGTGTTAGTGGAAATTAATT